CCCGGGAGGTCCCTCAGACGCCACACGTGGACGTTGCTCCAAAGACGACTGGTTAAGTGTTGAGTGTAAGGGATTAAAACAAGAGCCTGTTAACCACGAGGAAAAAAAAGTCTAAAAATAAGCACATGCAACAACCCAAGTGTTCATCCACAGACGAGCAGATAAACAAAACAGGGTCTAGCCACACAGTGAATATCATTCAACCCTAAAAAAGCAGAAAAGCACTGACACATACTACCACAGGAATAAACTGTGAGAACACGACGCTGAGTGAGGGAGGCCAGACACGGAAGGCCACACACTGTACGATTCCGCTTCCATGAAATGTCCAGGACAAGCAAATGCACAACACAGACGACTGGCTGTCAGGGGCTGGGAAGAGGGAATGGGGAGGGACCGCAAACAGGCATGGGGTTTCTTTGGGGGGGGGGGGTGATGAAAATGTTCTGGAAGGAGACAGTGGTAATGGTTACACAACTCCGTCAGTATGTTAAAAACTACTTAAGTGTACGCTTTGAAAGGGTGAATTTTACGGTTTTTAAAAATTAAATCTCGGGCGCCTGGGTGGCTCAGTCGTTAAGCGTCTGCCTTCGGCTCAGGTCATGATCCCAGGGTCCTGGGATCGAGCCCCGCATCGGGCTCCCTGCTCGGCGGGAAGCCTGCTTCTCCCTCTCCCACTCCCCCTGCTTGTGTTCCTGCTCTATCTCTCTCTCTGCCAAATAAATAAATAAAATCTTTAAAAAAAAAAAATTAAATCTCAAAAACTTTATGAGACTGACGCGCTGCCCACTGTGCTAAGAAGGCGGTTAAATCTCAAAAACTTTAAAAAAGCATATACCTATAACACATTATCATTTACATCAAAAAAAGACCGCAAAGGATAAAGTTAAACTTTTTCCAAAACTACAGCTTTTTACTTAACTAGGAAGAGAGTTGAAGAGTCCCAGGCAACTTTTATCACTAGCTCACACGGAACCCCGAGGAGCAGCGTACCTACAGCACCTGTCGGCTCCTGAGCGCGGCAAGGCTACCGCAATCTACCATCAGCTTTGCCGTGCCGACTGCTTTCCTTCTCGGACGTGAAAATTTCTATTTTACGTCATTCACACTCTTAAATGCCTTCTGCTTGTCCTCTGAGCGGGAAGGATTATCAAATAACACAGTGAGGGTTTGAAGATGCAATTGCAAATCATGACTATATCAGAAAACATCGTTATAAGAACTATCACTTTAAACAAAGAAAAGAAAAAAATCAAACCCTCGTCTTCATCCCTAAAGGATAAACACAAAGCCTCTAAGCTCAAAGAGTTCAAAAGAGAATAAAAACAGCTTACAAAAGAAATGCAAGCAGAGCTTTAATGGGGCTGTTTTCCCAGGATGACAGTAAACATTAGATCCAGAGACACTAAAACGGAAAACACTCAGACTACTTAGATTTCACCGGAGGGACCGCCTCCAAAAGCAGCAAAGGGTGCATCAGATCTTAACAGTAACAGAAAGTTACATGAATGAGACTGAAATTAGTTTAGCAGTGACAGAGGGAACGTGGGGAAAACTAGACACCATGGTGGCTCTGAAATATGGAAGCAATATAGCTCTAAGGTTACTCACCATAACGTCATTATTAAGGGTCAGGCAGAATTCTCCAATTTCCCACGGATAAACAGAAAAAATTGTCAGCTCCAAGCAACTACTCAAAAATCAATTTAGAAAACAGGAACCCTCTGAGACATAAATATTTCACTCTGTAACAACGTGCCCTGCCGAAGTCAGCACTCCTCCATAAAAACCCAGAGAGGATGGACCTGGCAGAGAAGGGAGCAGTCCCTGCACATCTGCTGGGTACGTCACGCGTGACCTCATGTAGCCCTCCAACAAGCCCAGGAGGCAGGTAACCTGCCACCTACTTCACAGGAAACACCAAGAGGAGGCGGGGTTCTGGCCAAGGTCACACAGCTGGCCAGTTGCGAGTGTGTGGGCAGGGGTGGGGGGGGGGGGGGAGACTGGCCCTTTGCGTCACCAGAGGGATTTCTCACTTGACAGAAAGAAAGGCTCTCTTCTAAAGCATATTTTCGTTCTAGAGCCAGCTCCTGCCCCACCAAAATAACAATCACCATCTTCCCCTTTTATAAAGGGATGAATCCGTATACACAAAAGAATTACCTTCGAGAGCTGAACAGGAGTGGAGAAAGAACCCCAGACATTAGTGCACGGCATCTAAACAGAAGGCTAGCAGCACGCGAAACGAATCATCAGGGACTGAGATCCCATGAACAGCTGATGGGGCACTGGCACCCCAAAGCCGGCTGAGCCCCCCACACACAACCACACTGCCTAGGACGCTGCTTTCCCTTTGTTACAGCTGAAATACCATCTTTCTGCCCAGTGCACAACATGAGATTCACAGTGGCAGCCGAACACACGTTTCAAAAGAAAACCACAGTCTCAGAGCTCCACATCACCAAAAACAGACGAGACACAGATTAAAACCAATGGAGGCACCACAACCACAGCCCAGAGAAAAACATTAAAGAAGGAAAGCCACAACCCAGAGTTGAGAGCTTGAAAGCCAGCAGCAGCAAACCAGAGAGGACCCAAGCGTTCCCTGAAAACAGCTCAGCCACGGAAAAGGCACCCAGCACCGCTGGTCCTGCCTGCAGTCTCCTCCCCACGCGTCCCCGTGTCATCTGAACACACGCCACGCTGGGTCAAAGAAAAACCCTTTTTCCTGGAGCACCACTTTGGCACCGGGTCCCCTGGGCTGTGAAAAACGAGTCTGAGCCCCGAGCATTTGGTGTTTACGTAGTTTTGAAACATTTAGACAAAAGTTCACATTCCCAAGTGGATGACCACGATGCCCTTCCTGTTTAGTTTGGAGACCAACACCCTGGGCCTCCCGGCAGACCCCGCATCTGCTCCCACAAAGGCAGGCGTCCCGCATGCGTCCAGGGCTGCAGACGTGTTTCTGTGCCTGTCACGGAGCCGGGCTCCGCAGCTGCCCCGCGGCGACACCCGCCCCACCAAGGGAACCCGCAGGCCGTGCGGGGCGCCGCACAGCCCCCGCGCCGCCCGCTAAGGTTCCCATCTCCACCTCGCCGACGGCTTCCCTTCCTGCCAAGGAACACCAGATGTGGAGAAATCCGGGCGACACCAAGCGTAAGTGATCTGTCGCCCAAGGGCCCGATTAAGGGGACAAAGGCCGTACGGCGCTCGCGGCCACGGGCGAGAAGGAAGGAACGGCACCAAGGGGCCGCGAACTCCGACCGCGCGGGCCTCCCCAGGGCCAGGCGCCCCGCAACCTGCGCGACCGCCCCCGGGGCGCGCGGCGGCGCGGGGGACGCACCTTGTGGCAGGCCGGGCAGGTGGGCAGCGCGCTCTTGCCGCCGTGGCCGCCGCCGCTCAGGCTGCTCTGGATCTGCGTGAGCTCCTGGCGCAGCACCTGCTTCTGGTGGAAGCTGAAGGCCGGGTGGTTGGAGGCCATGGTGAAGAGCAGCAGGAACTCATCGCCCGTGCGGCCCTCGTTGAGCTGCAGCCCGTAGTTGTGGATGATGGAGTCGATGTGCGTGAGCGTGCGGTAGAGCACGCCCGCCGCCTCGCGCTGCTCCGAGCCCAGCAGCGCCAGCGACACGAGCAGCTTGCTGCGCACCACCTCGTCCGTCAGGTTGGTGAGGCTGCCCAGGTCAGCCGGGTTGTTGGCCTTGATCTCCGAGTCGCGCAGCGAGTGGTAGTCCTTGCGGGCCAGGTCCTCGAGGCACGAGCCGAGGAAGCGCAGCTCGAGCGGGATGCACAGGTCCAGCAGGCCGCACAGGAACTCCACGCGCTGCGGCGACGGCAGCTCCGAGAACCAGCGGTACACGCCGTCCCTCTGCAGCGGGCAGCGCTTCTCCACCATGCTGCCGCCCGCGCCGCGCCGCGCCCCGGGGCCGGGGGCCGCCGGCCGGGGCCGGGGGCGCGGGCGGGCGCGGGGCGCGGGGGGCCGGGGCGCGCCGGGGCCGGGGCCGGGGGCGCGCGGGCCGGGGCCGGGGCCGGGCGAGGGCGGGCGGGCGCCGCGGGCCGCGCCGGGGCCGGGGCCGGGGGCGCGCGCCGCGGGCGGGACCCCCGCCAGGGGCCGGCGGGCGGGCGCGCGCGGGGCGCCGGGGGGGCCCGGGGCGGCCGGGGCGGCCGGGGGCGGCGAGCGGCCGCGGGCCCCCCGCTCACGGGCGGGCTCCTGGCCCGCGCCCGTCCCCAGCGGCGGCCGGTGCGCGGCGGCGGCGGCGGCCGCTCCTCGTCGTCGTCGTCGTCGTCGTCCGGGAGGCGGCCGCCCCCATCTCCCCCCGCGCCGCAGGGTCTGTCACTGCGGGCCGCCCCCCGCCGGAGCCGCCCGGGCCATGCCTCCTCCTCCTGCTGCTGCTGCCGCGGCGGCTGCTGCCCCTCCTCCTCGTCCTCCGCCGCCGCCGCCGCCGCCGCCGCGCCTGGGCCGGCCGGCCGTTGCCGGGTCGGAGGCCGCGGGCGGCGGGCGGGCGCGTCAGGAGCGGCGGGCGGGCGCGGGGCGCGCAGGGACTGGCGGGCGCGGCGGCGGCGGCGGCGGCGGCGGCGGAGGGATCTCTGCCGGCACTCGCGCGGGCTCGCGCTCCGGCCTCTCCCCGCGCCGCGGACGGATCCGGGCCGAGCGCCGCCGCGCTCGCTGCTGACGGGCGCCGGGACGAGGCGCAAGTGGGCGGGGTGGCCGCCTCTCGCGACAGCCGTGCCGGTCAGGCCCGCCCCCCTCGCCGATTGGCTCGGGCTGCCCCTTCTCGGCCCGTGATTGTTCCGAGGCCCCAATCCGATTCGCCCCCGCCGCGGCCACGCCTCCCCAGGGCTGTCGATCACGTCGGAGCCGCCCCGTCCCGCCCCTCGGCGGCCCGCGGGGCCGGCGCGGCGGAAAACCCGGGGCGGATTCCTGCTCGCTTTTGTTCCCGCAGATTTGCGCCGAGCATTGTTTGAGGTGGAAGTCGGGCGTCCGGCCTTCCGTGTGACTCCCGGGCGTCACCGTAGGGAGGCGGCGAGCGTCCCCGGAAAGCTGCAGGAGCGGGGCTCCGGAGCCCCGAGCCGCGCGACCCGGTGCTCCGTCAGCGAAGCTGTGTGACCTTGGCCGAGTCGCTTGGCCTCTCTGAGCCCTGGGCGCCGCCGCGGAACCTGAGGGTAATTCTTACCGCCCGGGGGGCTCGCGAGAAGGTCGTGAGCTTACGGAGGGCCGGCGCCCGCCCGTGCGAGCCGACCCGCCTGCCTTGGGGAGCCCTCGCCCGGAGGGAGCCGCTGTTAAGCCAGGCTCCTGTCCGCGAGCGGGGAGTGGAGAGAGCGCAACGGCGCCCGCCTGCCCGGGCCCGTGCGTGGCGCCGGGCTGCAGGCTGAGCCGAGGCCGGCGCGCCCCATCCCCTGGACACCCTGCAGTTGCAGGCCTTGGGTGTGGAACCCGCTGCCCTCCGGAGCAGCCGCCCGTTCTCCCCGCCCTGCCGCTAGGTCTCGGCTGCGGGTGTCTTGTGACTCACGTGCGGGCTCACTGGTTCAGCAGCTGTGTGTGCCAGGGCCTGAGGCCTGGGGCCAGGGGTGCGCGCTGCCCTGCTCTGCCTGCCTTGCGGAGCTCACGGCCTGCTTCTCAGCAGTGCCCGAGAGGAAGGACTGGACCCATGCGCGCAGTTCTTCAGGACAGGTCCAAGGTGCTGTAAACTTTCTAACAAGACCTTCTCCAGCTTTAGGACTTCAAGGTTGGACAGATTTTGTAGAGCCACATGAGGGAGAAAAAGAAAATCTGCTTCCCACTCCCTGACCCCTCTCCACTCCTTGGGCGAAATTTCCCAGAGCCACTCCGGGGCTCTTGGCCAGTGACAGGAGGAGAAAGCATCCAGGTGACAGTCCCAGACATCCCAGCAACCAGTGACACTCCCAGACATCCTGGCATCCAGGTGACAGTCCCAGACATCCGACAACCAGGTGACAGTCCCAGACATCCCAGCATCTGGTCGACAGTCCAGACATCCCAGCAACCAGTGACACTCCCAGACATCCTGGCATCCAGGTGACAGTCCCAGACATCCCAGCATCTGGTCGACAGTCCCAGACATCCCAGCAACCGGGTGACAGCCCCAGACATCCCAGCAACCAGTGACACTCCCAGACATCCTGGCATCCAGGTGACAGTCCCAGACATCCGACAACCAGGTGACAGTCCCAGACATCCCAGCATCTGGTCGACAGTCCAGACATCCCAGCAACCAGTGACACTCCCAGACATCCTGGCATCCAGGTGACAGTCCCAGACATCCCAGCATCTGGTCGACAGTCCCAGACATCCCAGCAACCGGGTGACAGCCCCAGACATCCCAGCAACCAGTGACACTCCCAGACATCCTGGCATCCAGGTGACAGTCCCAGACATCCGACAACCAGGTGACAGTCCCAGACATCCCAGCATCTGGTCGACAGTCCAGACATCCCAGCAACCAGTGACACTCCCAGACATCCTGGCATCCAGGTGACAGCCCCAGACATCCCAGCAACCAGTGACACTCCCAGACATCCTGGCATCCAGGTGACAGTCCCAGACATCCCAGCATCTGGTCGACAGTCCCAGACATCCCAGCAACTGGGTGAAACTCCCATACATCCCAGCAACCGGGTGACAGCCCCAGACATCCCAGCAACCAGTGACACTCCCAGACATCCTGGCATCCAGGTGACAGTCCCAGACATCCCAGCATCTGGTCGACAGTCCCAGACATCCCAGCAACCGGGTGACAGCCCCAGACATCCCAGCAACCAGTGACACTCCCAGACATCCTGGCATCCAGGTGACAGTCCCAGACATCCGACAACCAGGTGACAGTCCCAGACATCCCAGCATCTGGTCGACAGTCCAGACATCCCAGCAACCAGTGACACTCCCAGACATCCTGGCATCCAGGTGACAGTCCCAGACATCCCAGCATCTGGTCGACAGTCCCAGACATCCCAGCAACTGGGTGAAACTCCCATACATCCCAGCAACCGGGTGACAGCCCCAGACATCCCAGCAACCAGTGACACTCCCAGACATCCTGGCATCCAGGTGACAGTCCCAGACATCCCAGCATCTGGTCGACAGTCCCAGACATCCCAGCAACTGGGTGAAACTCCCATACATCCCAGCAACCGGGTGACAGCCCCAGACATCCCAGCAACCAGTGACACTCCCAGACATCCTGGCATCCAGGTGACAGTCCCAGACATCCCAGCATCTGGTCGACAGTCCCAGACATCCCAGCAACTGGGTGAAACTCCCATACATCCCAGCAACCGGGTGACAGCCCCAGACATCCCAGCAACCAGTGACACTCCCAGACATCCTGGCATCCAGGTGACAGTCCCAGACATCCCAGCATCTGGTCGACAGTCCCAGACATCCCAGCAACTGGGTGAAACTCCCATACATCCCAGCAACCGGGTGACAGCCCCAGACATCCCAGCAACCAGTGACACTCCCAGACATCCTGGCATCCAGGTGACAGTCCCAGACATCCCAGCATCTGGTCGACAGTCCCAGACATCCCAGCAACTGGGTGAAACTCCCATACATCCCAGCAACCGGGTGACAGCCCCAGACATCCCAGCAACCAGTGACACTCCCAGACATCCTGGCATCCAGGTGACAGTCCCAGACATCCCAGCATCTGGTCGACAGTCCCAGACATCCCAGCAACTGGGTGAAACTCCCATACATCCCAGCAACCGGGTGACAGCCCCAGACATCCCAGCAACCAGTGACACTCCCAGACATCCTGGCATCCAGGTGACAGTCCCAGACATCCCAGCATCTGGTCGACAGTCCCAGACATCCCAGCAACTGGGTGAAACTCCCATACATCCCAGCAACCGGGTGACAGCCCCAGACATCCCAGCAACCAGTGACACTCCCAGACATCCTGGCATCCAGGTGACAGTCCCAGACATCCCAGCATCTGGTCGACAGTCCCAGACATCCCAGCAACTGGGTGAAACTCCCATACATCCCAGCAACTGGGTGACAGCCCCAGACATCCCAGCAACCGGGTGACACTCCCAGACATCCCAGCATCTGGGTGACAATCCTAAGGAGTGTAAAATCTGCATAGGCAGCAGGGGAAAGTCTGGCTCCGTTGGGTCTCCCTATCTCATTTCCCATTACAGACTAATTTCTATAAATAATTAAATTAATCCTTGTTCTCTTTGACCTCACCTTTCCAAGTGATTCCAGGAAAGTAGCCACATTCCAAAATTTATGATATGTGGAAGTAAAGCAATGTGAAAATCAAGGCGAGTCAACACCTTTGCCTTCTCTTGGTTAATTAGGTTCCTCGGAGCGGAAAGATCTCAGGGCCCTCCAGCACTGAGGGTCCCTCCAATCCAGCCCAGCCAGGCTGTGAAGCCCCCAAGTGATGGTGTCAAGCTGACCTGTGTTCCGGTCCCAGGTACAGCCAGCTCTGTGACCTTGGCCACTCACTCAAGCCTCCATGTGTAAAAGGAAGCCAGGACCCCACTCCCAGCTGGCAGTGGAGGTCAGAGGTGCGAACAGAGGGCCCAGACAGCTGGGACAGCTGAGCCACAAGTACCAGGATCAAGGCCCCCCAACTCTTGACTGCCTTCTTGCCACTTTTTGCTGTGCGATGTGCTGTGGAATGTGTGTAATGGCCAGAATGGTGTTGTCCCCCAAAAGGTCATGTCCACCCAGAACCTCAGGATGTGAATTTTTTTGGAAATAGGGTCTTTGCAGATATACTTTAGGTAAGAATCAAAATGAGAGTGTCCTTTGTAATAGGAAACAACAAGCAGAGACTCAGGGATGGGGGACGCCATTGAAAACAGGCAGAGGTTTAGAGCCAGGGCATGCCTGGAGCCATCAGGAGCTAGAAGAGGTAGAAAAGACCCTCCCCTAGAGCCTGTGGAGGGAGCACAGCCCTGCGGACCTCTTGCCTTTGGACGTCTGACTGCAGAAGAACATTTCTGTCATGTGAAGCCCCCGGTCTGCGGTCATTTGTCATGGCTGCCCCTGGACACTCTTACAGCGTGATTTCCCCTCACTCCAGCGCAATTTAATTCAGCTCCGCGGATAGTGAATCGCTACCCTGCAGGACTAGACCCCACTAAGGACTTGGGGGCCTCCAAGAGGAATGAGACCCAGCTCGTCCACTTTAAGGAACAGACGGCCTAGACTCCTGTCTCCAAAGCAGATGGCCACCCATCTGCGGGAGCTTTCTCTTCGCATACTGTTCCCTTTCCCAGGAAGCAGCTAGGAGCCTCCTGGAGGGGAGAGTGGACGACGACCTGCCAGTCCCTCCCAGTGTTGTCCCTCAGGCCTGGCCGTGGGGCTGTGGTTCTCTTAGCCAGCCGCTGTTCTCCCTCCCACCTAGGGCTCCTTCCCTAAAACAGCCTCCAGCTCCGGGCTGTTTGGAGCTGGTTCTGTCCCCTCTCTCTGCAAAAGGTGATCCCTGGCTTCAGGTGGGATTTGAACATTCCTCCACCTCCTACAAAGTGGAGGGCCTGAGGATCCATGGGAGGAGGCTGGGGAGGTGGGGCGCAGTGTTAAGTCAGATGGTGGGGCCTTCCTCCACACAGTCAAAGGGGTTGCAGGTAAAAGGGAAGCAGGCCATGTGTTCAGACAAGGAGAGATGCCCGGTGAGACGCTGAGTGGGACAGCAAGTTCACTCCCAGGAGTGAACATACCTGCAACGTGCCTAACTCAGGCCAGGCATCAACGGTGCCATGGGCCCTGCCCTCGGGAGCTCACGGCGTAGGTCTAGGGCAGAACAGTAGGTCTGTCTACGTTTTCCATAAAGCTGGAACGGAGTATAAATTAATACTATTTTTGAGAAAGAGAGCGAGGGAAAGACTGGGAGTTCACCCCAAATGCCCCAAAGAAACGCTTTTGTAATGAAGACGTGGTGTGCCTGGATGACTTCCTGTGTCCGGAGTGGCGACACTGGTGACTTTGCTGCGGAGGCAGGGCCAGGGCTGTGGCCAGGGCTCGGCCACCTGCACCCCACCCCCCGCCCTGTCACCCCACTTCTCCCTTCTCGTTTACAACCCAGCCCTAGAGGAGGAGCCTAGAGGCTACGTTGGGATAGGAAAATGAAAACAGGGCTAAGGTTGAGAGTCCAGTTAAGACCAGAGCTCCTCGAGCAGTCGGGGCTCAGGTGCACACACAGCCTCTGTGCCGGGATCCCCCACTTACCTTTCCCTGAGGGTTCATTGAGGGGTGTGCATGGTGTCCAGTTGGAGATACCTACTGAGTTTCATTTTTCCTTTGTCCGAGGCTCTGTCTTTCTGAGACAGAAAACAAAGAGACCCAAAACCCCTTATGTGCAGGCCTTAAGAAGTGGGTCCCTACTCTTACCGACGGCACCCTTGCTTGGTGCCTCAGCTCCTGATCACCTCATGTGATCGCCACAACTCTGTGTGCCTGGTTCTGAGAGCTGCTGCTATTGTTCCGTTTTACAGATGTGGACCGGTCACCGTGGGCCCAGGGCTGTGCAGCTTGTGCGTGTTGGAACCACGTCCTGACATAAGTCAGTTGCCCAGGCTCTGTCCCTCCCGGAGGAAAGTACAAAGGTGACATGTCATTTATGCATTATTTCTGCAAACCAGAGACTCCGGTCGTATTTGTTGCATGCCAGTTTTTCCCAGCCTGGACTTTGCTGACTGAGTCCACCTGGAGTCATAAATGGGCAAATGTCCCCATTGTGCCCGGCGCTGTTTCTGCAGTGCTGCACGTTTTCCTTCAGGGCAGACCTGCTTTCCTGGGTGTCTTTGGCCTTTGGCTATGTGCGGCATTTCCACAGCAGAGAATTGTCTGGGCTTTTATTTAAGATGGACATTTCCTAAGCCTGACCCCAGGTGTAGAGTCAGACTCCCAGGGGCTGGGGTCTTGGACTCTGCTTTATGCTAGCTCTCGGGTGACCCCAGTGCACACCGACATTTGAAAACTGCGTTGGGCAGTGGAGGTTTTGCTTTCAGGCATCTGGCGTCCTTCTCTGGACGAAGAGCAACCACGAAAATAATCACTTACGTCCATATCACAGGCCTGCCAGTGGACAAGGATCCTCCCTGTTATATAGCTGGGGAAGCTGAGGCTTAAAGAGGTCACACCCTCAGTGGCTCATGGGTTCTCGTTAAGTCCTGAACCTTATTTCTTCTGTATGTTTGTTCATTTTTCACATTTTTGCCTTTCTCAAACCATAGTTATATCTCTGAAAGCCAACAATTAATTCACTGCTGCTTTTGGGTTTTGTCTTTTTTTTAAGACTTTATTTATTTATTTGACAGAGAGAGACACAGCCAAAGAGGGAACACAAGCAGGGGGAGTGGGAGAGGGAGAAGCAGGCTTCCTGCAGAGCAGGGAGCCCGATGCGGGGCTTGATCCCAGGACCCTGGGATCATGATCTGAGCCGAAGGCAGACGCTTAACGACTGAGCCACCCAGGCGCCCCTCACTGCTGCTTTTGGTTTTGTGTGTTTTGCTTATCTTTCTACTATGGAAATTCTCAAGCATACCCAAAAGTCATCTGACTGGTATGGTGATTCCCTGTGTCCCTGTCACCCAGCTTCCACGGTAATGGCTAATTTATTGCCCCCACCCTGGCAGACGCACATTTTTCTAATGGATTATTTTAAAGCAAATAAATTAGGAGTTTTATACATATATACATAGTAATATACATATATATTAGCGTTGTTTTGCCTGATTATGGAGTAATACATACTCCTTGTACAGAGATCGTATCTCACTAAAAGACGACGTAAAAGTCACACATAATCTCGCTTCTCAGTCGTAACAACATTAACATTTTAAAACACATCCTCCTAGACACTGTTGTATTCACACATATTTATATGCACACCTATTTTTTTTTAAAGATTTTATTTTTATTATTTATTTGAGCCAGAGAGAATGAGAGAGAGAGAGAGAGAGAGCACATGAGAGGGGGGAGGGTCAGAGGGAGAAGCAGGCTCCCTGACGAGCAGGGAGCCCGATGTGGGACTCGATCCAGGGACTCCAGGATCATGACCTGAGCCGAAGGCAGTCGCTTAACCAACTGAGCCACCCAGGCGCCCTATATGCACACCTGTTTTTACAGAAGTGGTATCCTCCACAAAAATAGGGCTCTTCTCCACATTTTGCGATCTCTTTTTTCCATTTAACAACATATCACAGATGTCTTCCCATGTCACAGACTCTCTTGTAACTCCTGGTTTTCAAGGGCAGCCTAGAATCCTGTTTGGATATGCCACGATATTTTCTACTAATCCCCTCTTGCTGTGCATTCAGGTTGTTTCTGTGCTTTGCGATTGAGTTTCAGAAGGCATTCTGCTTACCCTGGACCTTGCACCAGGCTGAAACCCGATCTACCTCCTCTAGATCCCCTGGGTGTTTCTGAGAAGCACAAGCAGGGCTAACGTGGAGGAACTGGACTGCTTCCCAGTGCCATCCCAGTCAAGGCTGCGCCCCCTGGTGTGACGGCTCAAGACACAGGTCACACCCAGACTCAAATCTGGGTGAAAAATACATTCCAAAGGCAGATAACATATGTCTGGGTGACAAGGTGTAACTCTAAAAGATGGGAGGATTCTTTTTAAGCAAACACACCAGCGCTCACCCAACCCAGTAACACTCCCAACTTCAAGGTGCTCACCCCGGAAGGCAGTCCTCCTGTTGTGATAAAACTGTGATTGCTTGAAAATATATCCACGAACTCCTCTTTCATGCAGCTGTCTCCACAGTCTGTATAAGTAATTTTTGGAGACACTGTAGGCTGGGAAGTCTTTGTGCTTTGAGGTGGATTGATATCTGGAAACAGCCTGTGCTTATGAAATAAACTGCAAACAGCAGAGTCTGCTATGTCTGGTTTGAGCAGAAACAAGTTTATTAAATTACAACAGGGGATTCAGAGTTTTCAGTAGGGTTGGAGAACCAAATGTGGATGCCATTTTTGTATCTTTTTTTTTTTTTAATGAGTTGCCTGTTCATGTTTTTTGCCCATTTTTCTATCAGGTTTTGCGTCCTTGTTTCTGTCAATTTTTATTTATTTATTTTATTTAAAGATAGATTTATTTATTTTTAGAGAGATGGAGGGGGGGCATGAGCGGAGAGAGGGGCAGAGGGAGAGACTCTTTCAAGCTGAGCAAGGAGCCCAACATGGGGCTCTATCCCACAACCCATGTGCGGAAACCAAGAGTTGGATGCTTAACACACTGAGCCACCCAGTCACCCCTCCATCAATTTTTGAGAGTTCTTTATATATATATATATATATATATATATATATATATTTATTTATTTATTTATTTATTTGAGAGAGAGAATGAGAGAGAGCACATGAGAGGGGGGAGGGTCAGAGGGAGAAGCAGACTCCCTGCTCAGCAGGGAGCCTGATGTGGGACTCGATCCCAGGACTCCAGGATCATGACCTGAGCCGAAGGCAGTCGCTTAACCAACTGAGCCACCCAGGCGCCTGAGAGTTCTTTATATATTAGAGTTAATAGCCCTTTATCTGTGATTTATGTTGAAAATATTCTGTCCCAGCTTGTCAGTTGCCTTTGACTTCATTTATGGTGTTTTTATCTTGAAAGAGTTTATTTTTTTTAAGATTTTATTTATTTATTTGACAGAGAGAGACACAACGAGAGAGGGAACACAGGCAGGGGGAGTGGGAGAGGGAGAAGCAGGCCTCCCGCGGAGCAGGGAGCCCGATGCGGGGCTCGATCCCAGGACCTGGAATCATGACCTGAGCCGAAGGCAGACGCTTAACGACTGAGCCACCCAGGCGCCCTGAAAGAGTTTATTTTTATGATCACTTATTACATCTGGATTTTTAGTTGTGGTTAGAAAAACCACTCCCTACAACCAGATTATAAAGAAATTTATAGGTTTATAGGTTTTCTTATATATATGGTTTCATTTTTTTCATTTTTAGATACCTGACCCATTTGGGGTTTATTATTTATTTATTTTAGAGAGAATGCATGTGTGTGCATGCACAAGCAGGAGGGGAGGGGCAGAGGGAGAGGGAGAATCTTAAGCAGGCTACATGCTCAGCACAGAGCCCAGTGCAGGGCTTGACCTCATGACCCTGAAACCATGACCTGAGCTGAAATCAAGAGTGGGATGCTTAACAGACTGAGCCACCCAGGCACCCCTGCAGTTTATTCTTATGTGTAATATGAGGTATTTGCTTTTGAAACCCAGTGTTATATTTAATTACACCAGGGGTTGCAAATTAAAATGCTTGAAAGAGGCCGGCAAAAAGTAAGTGACTGAAGATGGATGGAATAATAAAATAGGGTGAGGGTTGTAGCCAGTCAGGATTACATTAAAAAAAACACGCACACAGGCGCACCTGGGTGGCTCAGTCGTTAAGCGTCTGCCTTTGGCTCAGGTCATGATCCCAGGGTCCTGGGATCGAGCCCCGCATCGGGCTCCCTGCTCGGCAGGTGGGAAGCCTGCTTCTCCCTCTCCCACTCCCCCGCTTGTGTTCCTTCTCTCGCTTTGTCTCTCTCTGTCAAATAAATAAATAAAATCTTTAAAAAAAAACAAAAAAACACGCGCACACTGGGGCACCTGGGTGGCTCAGTAGATTAAGCGTCTGCCTTCAGCTCAGGTCCTAATCTCAGCGTCCTGGGGTCGAGCCCCACATTGGGCTCCCTGCTCAGCAGGGAGTCTGCTTCTCCCTCTCCCTCTTCCTGCCGCTCCCCCTGCTTGTGCTTGCTCTCTAATAAAGAAACAAAATATTAATAAATAAATACATAAATAAATAACACACACACACAGTGGGTGTATTAGTTTCCTAGGGCTGCCATAGATAAATTATCACAAACTTCGTGGCTTAAAACCACAGAAATGTATCCTCTCACAGCCCCGGAAACTGGATATTTAGATGGGGTGTCAGCAATGTTAGAAGGGTCAGGAGGACAGGAGATGTCATTGCTGCTTGTAAAACAGACAAGTCCACGTGGGAAGGAAGCAAAGGGTGGTCCTGACCAACAGCCAGCAAAGACATGGGTCCTCAGACCTACAGCCTCCAGGAAGTGGATTGCCAGAACCTGCTTGAGCTTGTAAGCAGATTCTCCCACTGGCAAGAACCCAGCCACCAACATCTTGATTTCTGCCCAGGAGACCCTGAGCAGAGATCCTAGATGAGTCTGTTCCAATTTCTGGCATGTGTAGCTGCCAGATGATACATGGGTGCTGTTTCAGGCCTCTCGAGTTTGTGGGTTCTGCAGTCGCACAAATTAACATACCTCTGCTTCTGGCGAAGGTCTGGGGGTGGGGACGCTGAGAATGATGAGGGGGAATGAAGGTGTGGGATCGGACAACCCCATATTCTGCCTCCCCCGGCCCCTGCGTGCGTTCAGCCACTCGCCCATGAGACCTTCTGGCCCCTGTGAAGACATAGAGGCACCACATGAACTCAGCTTGGGGTGTCCTCGGTGGCTTCAGAGGCTGATGGAAATCAGAGACACATCCCCTCTTGTGCTTGAGCAGTTACTGAAGACGAGGGAGCCGAGTGGGTCTAACCACATTTTGTCCTGATGTTTTATAGGTTTTTAGGACCAGGAGGATTCATGCTAAAGTCCTTAAATGTAATAAATTCCCTCTTCAGGGTAACAGCCCAGAAAATTGCATCCTGCTACCCGCCCCCGCTCCCCGCAAAAGAAGCAAGCAGCAAAGTGTTTTGCTCTAGGTGCACCTAGCCTGGGGGCAAGTCACTTCCCAGCTCCCAGGAGCTCCTGCCCCATCGACTCAGAGGTGGTAGGCTTGAACCACTAGGCTTGTGGCAGGTGCTCAATAAGCCTAGCAGTTAGGGTTAGGATTCTCAGGTGTAATGCTTCTTGCACCTCACCCCACACCCATGTTGAGAAGCTGCATGCCCCAGGGCTGTTCCTCCAAGAGCAATTTCCTCATCCCGTCACAAAGGGGAGGACTGGAGAAGGGGCTCACGCAGCTCTGGCCGCACAGGCATGTCACCTGGGGACAGGTAACCAGCGCTGGGCCAGGGGAGGAGCTGAGCCCTCCCTGGAAAGGTAACCCCAGGAGCCCTGAGCATTGAGGGGCCACGTGGACGGCAAGTGCCAGGTTTCAGGTGGGAGGTAAGGGCCCTATCGAGAAGGGTGGTTCGTTCAGGGGTTTGAAAACTATTTTGTCTCTGACAGGCTTTAGGACTCATGTGTCCAAGAAAACCCTCCGGCAGGAGGAGGAGAGATGAGCCCCTGCAGCAGAGGACTCTGGAGGGCCTCTGGTGGAAAGGGGGGTATGAGGAAGGAGAAGGGGGGGATCCAAAACCCCCTACTCAGGCAAGGCTGACCCAAGGCCATGGGAGCAGGGGTGGGGGGTGGGGTCTAATCTTGGAAGAAGACGTCTTTGTGCCTCTGAAGGGAGCAGGTGTGGTCCTTTACATTCCCTCCCAAAGACAGAAGGCTGACACGGTCTCTTTTAGGGGTTGTGTCCCCCAAAAAGGATGTCTTGGAGTCCTAACCCCCAGTACCTGTGAATGTGACTTTATTTGGAAATAGTGTCTTTGCAGATGTAATCAGGTTGAAATGAGGTCATGAGGGTAGGTCCTAATCCAAGAACTAGTATCCTTCTAGAAGAGGAGACACACAGGGGAGAGGTTATGTGAGGACAGAGGCAGAGACAGAGGGACTTGAGGAGCCCCTGGGAGCTGGAAGAGGCAGGAAGGAGCTCCCATAGAGCCTCCAGAGGGAGAGAGGCCCTGTTCCACCTTGACTCTGGGCTTGTGGCCTCCACGGCTGAGAGAGAACAGATTTCTGCTGTTTTAAGCAAACCCCCACCCCACTCCCTATACGTGGTGTTTTGTAATGGCAGCCCCAGGGCACGCATCTGGTCTCCAAGACAAGAGTGGGGACAGCCACTCGGTAGGTGTTCAACATGGCTGGTGAACGACCAGAAAGCCATTCCTGGTTGTTCTCTCTCACCGTCTCTGGCTACGAAGGTTGGAAAACAAAACTTCTACATGCCCAGCTTCCCTTGTATCCAGGAGTAACCTTGTGATCCAGTTCTGGCCAATAAGACTCAAGTAAAAGCCTGACAAGGGGTTTTTGGGAAACTGCTTTTCTACCAGAAGGGGAACTGCGTCAGGCAAAGCTCTTCACCCTGCCCACCAGAGCTCTCTTGAACGCCGTGCAGCCACGCATTGGAGGGCCACGGCTACCATCTTGTCACCTTGTGATGATGAACAGGAGGGACACTCAGCCCAGACCTTGTGCCTGGCACCACCCAGTTGCTCCACCAAGCTCCTTTTTGAAAAATAAACCCACGTTTGCTCAAGTTAGTTGGGCTCTCTGCTACGTGCTGCTGAATGCATTCCTAGCCAATACCGTGGTTTGCCCACAGAAGCCTTCCCGAGCCCATCTCCCCTCTGGTGGACCAGAGAGGTTAAGGGCAGGAGCTGCAGAAGTCAGAGGGAGCGGATTCTAATCCTGGCTCTCACCCTCAGTTTGCATTTCGCCTCCTCTCCCGTGTCCCCCCTTCCTCTGCAAAATGGAGGTAGAAGGATCTACTTCAAAAGGTGGCTGGGGAATGAGATGAGATACTGCTTAGCAGGTGCTCAAGAAATGGTGGCTGGCAGCATCTCTAGGAGCATCTTCTTCCTGTGTTCTGTTGAGGGTAGGGGTCCCATAACAGGCTTGGTGCTGTAACCAGTGCAAACAGGGCCAGGGTGAGAAGTCTTCCATATCCCCTGGCCTCTGAACGAGTTCTTTTTTTTTTAATTTTTTTATTGTTATGTTAATCACCATACATTACATCATTAGTTTTTGATGTAGTGTTCCATGATTCATTGTTTGTGCATAACACCCAGTGCTCCATGCAGAATGTGCCCTCCTCAATACCCATCACCAGGCTAACCCATCCCCCCACGCCCCTCCCCTCTAGAACCCTCCGTTTGTTTCTCAGAGTCCATAGTCTCTCATGTGAACGAGTTCTTGATGCCGAATGAGTCCCCCTGACCTTAGTGTGTGTGTGTGTGTGTGTGTGTGTGTGTGTGTGTGTGTGTGTGTTGGCCCAAGCCATTTCCGTGTCACAGGACAAAAATAACAGGATGTTATCATACTTGCCGTCATTTATCCAGTGGGTTCGGTGCACAGAGCACAGAGTCTCAAGTCACTTTTAAAGGACAGATGGCTAGAAAGTGACAGTGCTAGGCCTCAAGGCTGGGAGGTCACTGTGTCTCCTGCCAAGCCCAGCCAAGCTAAAAGTTTTGGCACCAAAAGCAGGAAAGGCAGAAATGCCAGGGGACAAAGCACTTTCATGCCTCATTTAACCCTGTGACATGCCTTGGAAATCAATAGATTGTTATCCTCACCTGGCAAGGGAGGCGATCAGGCCTTGAGGAAGGAGAGCAGGCGTTGGCAGAGCGGGGCCTGCACAAAGGTTTCCTGGTCCCCAGTCCCGCTGCCCTGTCCCCTCCAGAATGGCGCAGATGGAGGCTGAATAATGAGGAAGGTCATCATGGAGTGTCTCTTCCACATGGCTCAGGTGACCCCGGTGTCACGGAGCTCACAGCCCTTCTGGGGACTTGCCAGAGGCTCGGTGCTCTGCATCGTGTCCCTCGGCTCTCTCTTCACAGATAAAGAGGCTATGTTCCCTCTGCACACAGTCGGCTAGGACAGATCCCATGTCCTGGCCACTGTGTGACCCTAATCACGTTAGAGGTTTCCTGACCCAGTGGAGGTCTTGCCCTCACATGTTAACCACAGCGGCCCGGATACATATGTGTGTTTGCATGCTTGCATAGGTCATGTGTGTTTGACGTCAGCTTCAGATTTTGTTTAAAGAGTTGTTCTATAGCTGACGTTTTTTTTAAACCACTGGCCCACATGCCATACGTGTGATTCTTTTCATGCATTGGCTCCTTGGCGCTGAGACTCACTCTCTTCCACGCAGGGACAGCGTGCCACAAAAACATCAGTACAGAACCATCAGAACCGTCCCTGGCTGTGAAACGCGGGAAGGCCATGCCAGCGCATCCGAAGGGAAGGTCAGTCTTGTCGACACACATCTGTTAGAGCCTTAACTAAATTCTTTGCTCCCCGAGAACAGGGACTAGGTCTGATACGTGTTTGTCACTTTGGGTTTCCAGCTCTAGATGGACGCCTTGTATACAGTAGGCACTTATTCAATGTTTGCTGATGGTCGTTCTGACTTGCCAAATAAGCTTTTGCAGTGCTTCTTCCAAAGCTCTCCCTTTTCTTCTGTAAAGATTGTGGTACCATGCTAATTTCTCCAATTAGTACAGTATCTTGTCTATCAGAGATGATTTGTTATGTGTAATTATGTTTCTACCCTCGTGCTTGCAGAGTGGAATTTTTTTCCAAAATATTGTTAACATTTCCTTATAACACAGTGTGAATCCCAGGATGGGAAAGACTTGATCTGGAAGAGAATTTGGTGGTCATGTGAGGTTAACTTCTTAATTAGCAGATGAGAAAAGAGTCAAAGGGGCCATTGGGGATCACCCAGCCAATCCACTTATCAACCAACTTTTGGGAGCTGATTGCTAATGTAGAAAATGGTTGGTATGATTCACAACATCTTCATATTTTTGATCACCTATGTTTGGCCACATTTTTCTGTATTAAATGTATGATAACATTTGACAGTAATACATCCTATTCACTATCCATCCATGCTTCTGACATTAGCATGTGACATTATCCATGTAATCTGCTAACTAGCAGCTCAAAAAGCCAAGAAGTCCTGAGACAGGAAGGCTCTAGAGTTGGTTAATGCCCTGGCTCACAGACACCGTTGAGGACCCAGCCTCCTTCTGTTCACACATTGTGCCATCCTCTGGGTGTCAGCCTTGACGTCGGGCTGGTTCTCCTCATGCTTACAAGTGGCTGTAGCTGTTCTAGGCATCACATGCAGTTTCCAACAGAAGGAGAAAGATTATCTTTCTTTGTGTATCAATTTTAAGGGAAAAAAAAAATCTTTCACTGAAGCCCCTCCGCTCATTGGCTAGGTTGTGTCACATATCTGTGTTGAAAGTAACAACAGACAAGAGGACTAGAGCCATTGTGATGGCCCTTGATCCATCAGGATACGCCTTCTGCCTGTCCTGAAGTCCTGGATATGCAGAGTGTGGAAGCCAGAACAAAATAAGGGTTCCATTTGCAGAGGAGGACAGTGACGCTCAGGAGGTCAGCTGTGGTCTACCGTCGCGCCAGATTCCTAACTTGGATTTGTCTGACCCCAGCTGTGTTTCCACGGGGCTGCGCGGCCGTGCAGCATGAGGTGTGGGTGGAGTGGGGCTCATATCATGACTGGGCTGTTGTCACCCTTTGTCATCATCGTGGGGGCCACCATACTCCATTAGAGCCAGCTTTTGATCATGTCTGTGCTTGTAATCAGTCATTTCACAGCTGGGCAGATACAGCTAGCCCAGATGACCCCCTGGGCACCTTCTAGCACTGTCTGAGGCCAAGTCTGCCAGGTTCATCTCCTCACCAGCGGGGATGGACTCTGCGGCCTCTCGGGACACTTTCTGCCTTCCCATCCACCGCGGGGCTGGTTCTCCTGCAGTGAGGAGAGGGACTTGTTGGCTCCATGTCCCCCGTGAGCTCCTTTGGGAGGTTTGAGGGGCTGTCTCTGCTGAGGCAGGAGCACCCCTGGATTATCTCACCGTCGCTGGCCCATTGCCACAGATAACAGGCGCCGCGTCTCCCTGGGCATGCATGCCGCACTGCCCGTGCCCCGCCTCCGCCCTGCGGTGACCATACCGACACCCCCTTCATCATGTCTGGGTTCATTCACAGTGGGCTGTGTTGGAAATGAGAGCGAGCTGGAAGAGCCCAGAGCCTGGGGAACCTGGGTCCGTGGCTGCGTGGCCCTGGGCACGCCACTCAGTCTCCCTGCACCTCACTTTTCCTATCTGCGTAATGGGCTGCTGTGTGGCTCAGGGACCGTGAGTACAGCAGCCTGAGAGTGGCTGGCGCCTGTGAGCAGTGACACTTTCTCACAGCGATTGGGGTGTGGCCGCGGTGGGTTCAGATGGAGCAGACCGATCTCCTAGGGGTCACTTGACATCTTGGTGTTCTTAGAAAGCAGAGCTTAAATTTTCCCATGGGGTCTGGCTTCCAGGTCTGTGGGCTTGCTTGCTCTGTGCAGGGAAGAGCAAACTGGGAGAGCAGCCCCAAAGCTTTGTTTCTCGGGGGGTGCCTTGGCTTCCTGTGGCGGCTGTAACAAATGCCCACAAACTCCAGAGCTTAAGACAGCACACATATCTATTTCCCCGTTCTGGAGGTCCGAAGTCTGACACGAGTCTTACAAGTTTAGAAATGGGGGTGAGACTGGAGCTCCCGGTAGCCAGAAATGTTGGAGGGGGGGCCAGGTCTGGCTTTCCCACCATGCACAGAGTCCTGGTCCTGCGAGCACAGGGCCGCTACAGGGAAAACGCAGTTCTGGGTCCTTCTCCCCTCCAAGGCTGCGGTAGCAGGTGGAGACGAACATCCTTACCCCCGCCCCTTTCTCCTGAGCACCGTGCTGGCCCAGGGACACAGGGTGGAGGTGAATGTGTTTGGACAGTTGACGGAGATTCTTAGCAAAGGCCTTCGAGGAGAGCTTGACTTCCCTGAATTTATCTGCCATGTTTTGCATGAAAAGCCTGAGCGCAATTTTTTTTAAAGCAGAGAGTATATGGCTTCCACAGCGTCCCCAAAGGAGTCTGAGACCCGAGGGACATTACAGAGAGTTGGGAGAGCATCGTTCTGAGCTCAGGCTGCGTTCTGGCCGTGGCGCTGTCCTTCACCTCTCAGAGCCTCAGCTTCCCTCGCCTGGACAATGGGACCATCCTGCCCCACTCGGGTTGTTGCCATGGGTGCACAGCCCGGTGCCTCAGGGAGCTCCGTGGTTGGCGGCGATGCCCAGTACCAGAGACACTGGAATTTGCTGACTCTATCCTTCTCTCTAGGGCTGCAGTGGCTGCCCTGGGGTTCCTGGCCACCAGTTTCCCCAGCAGCCTTTTTGTTTGTTTGGAGCGGTTTCTTGGGGTCTCCTAGAGAAAAGATTCTCAGCTGAGTGCTAGCAAATGAGTATGCTCCCCACCCCCCTGCTTGGAGGGCTCCCAGCTGCTCCCTTGGCTGCCCAGCTGAGAAGAAATGATGTCAGGAATGTTTCTCTCTTGGGGAAGCTGGAGACTCCTTTTAGCAGGACAAGAAGACACCGTGAAAAAGGGGTTCAGGGGGGTTTGCCAAAGCATCCTCGTGTGGTGCTGTGGGAATATCCGTTTCCTATGTCCGCCTGCAAGAGGGGTTGGGTGGGCTGGGCTAGTGGTCTGGGTCTTGGTTTTCTCAGCCTGATCACATTCATTTTATGCCACAAAACACTTCAGTGGCTCAAGACCGAAGGGGCTGGGGGACTCCAGCCCCAGCTCCCAGCCTTTCGGTAGCCGCGTGAGGGGCCCTCTCTGGGCTCCACATCAAGGCCTCCCTTCCTGGCCAGAAGAGAGGTGGCACTGTCCTTAGATGCCCTGTGGCATGAAGATGCAGGGCCTGCAGTGAGGCTCCTGTCCGCACATATTGGTTAGGAGCTTCTGCTCTGGAATCGTGCTGACCGGAGCTTGAAACCGGGCTCCACCACGTCGGAAAAATTACTCAGTCTGTCTGAGTCTCAGTTTTCCAACCTGCAGAATGCCAACAGCAAGGATTCCTGCTGCCACAGAGAGTCGTGAGGCCTGAATGGGTCCCCGTTGCAGGGTGTTCTACACAGGTGAGCATGGACACATGGGGAGTGGGCAGAAGCAGGAACCACTGGGATTTTAGTCACCTGACTGTGAAATCAGAAAATCGGGAAATGCAGAAAACGTCAAGGAAGAGAACCCATAGTGCCCATAGCCCCGGTGCCTGGAGACGCAAACTGCTATAGCTTTTGTTACATGTCCCTCAGGCCTGTTTGTAGGCTCGCGTGTCTCACAGACTCGAATCACTGTTGAATGAGCACAGCGTACGTCTGTAGGTGCGTGCTAGTTTTTCTTAAGACCGGGCATGATGTTGCTTAACCCACTTCTTTTAAACTTAAAAATGTATCGAGAACATTTTCTCCAAATCATTCCATTTCACCAGATTGCATATTTTCCCACACTTTGATGTTTCTGAAATAGGGACGTGTTTTAGAATCATTGTCAAAAGAAACGTACCAGCTGCTGCTTCTTCTTCTCTCTCTCTCTCCCCTGAAGGGGGTCACGGGATGGGCGATCGGGGTGACAAATGACAATGGGGCGTTCTGAAGAGGCTTCTGGAAGACCACAGGGTGCTCTTTGGTGCCTTCGCCATAATTACCTTGATTGACCCCTATTTTTGGATGTTTTAGCTCCTTCTGATTTTTTGCTATTATCAACAAAGCTGAGAGAAAAAAAAAAAAACAAACATGGCAGAAACTGCAATCAGGTGGGTCACTGACCCCACGGGAGAGGATGGATGGAGAGGCCAAGGTCACAGCCAGCCCGTGGTGACCTTCTGGGAGGAAGGGAGGAAGTGAGTAGCTCCCAGTGTCTGTTCCTCGGGTCAGCCCCTCCTTCACGGCCGGGGCACAGAGCGGCCCTGGGTGGGAGGGGTGATGCCCCACGCAGCAGCCCCACTGAAGCACGGTGCTGGCTTTAGGCTGGGGAGCTTACCACATGGGCTTTCCCTTCCCCACGCGGAACAGAAGGCACGGAGAGAGGCCCCTGGTGAGCGCCAGGCACAGCTCGCTCAGAGTCCACATGCTCCAAGTCAAGGGAGGAGATGCTTTCTCCTTTTCTGGAGTTCCGTCTCATGCCTACGTTTCGGGTAGGATGCTATTTTTAAGAGCCTGGCACTGTGGGTTTGTACACCCCAAGGGAGGAGGGGGACTCAACGCAGGGCAGGGCTGGGCAGGCAGCAGGCAGGAGAGCGGGCGGGGGGCTGCATTTGTTCTGCTCTAACAATGAGACTGCGGGCTGGCAGGCTGGCGGGCTGTCACACCCACGGCCGACATTAATCACATCCTGCCTTGCCTTCCCCAGCAGCTCTGACACATGAGGCCACATCCCACTTCTGGAAAGTGCCCCACTCAGACTGTAAGGGTGCTTCTTGGCCACACTTCCTGTGTTGGGTCCTCCCCCCTCCTCCCCGACATGTGTCCCTTCTGCCTGGCTCTGGAGACTGGGAGGGCTCTGGCCACCACCAGGAGCAGATAAAGCACCTTGCGGGCTTTGAGGCAAGGATGCCAGTCCCCTTTGGGACATTAGCAGTTGTGTGGGGCGGGGCACGATGCCCAACTGGCTCACTCTGTCACCCAGGACTTTGGGGTTGACTCTTGCTAGCCATGTTGGGTTCAGGGGTGGGGGTTACTGGGTGGAGACGGGCGAGTTTACGGAACAGAAAGGAAAGATGGATACCCGATTACAGGTCAGACGGAGCAACACAGCGCCCAGGATCTGGGAGCAGGATCAACAAGAGGCCTGGGGTGGAGGAGGTCAGTGTACTGCAGGTATCAGTTTGCTCCATTTTATACATGAGCAACTGAGAGTCAGAGAGGAAGGGACTTGCCCAGGGCCAGATGGCTGACCAGAGGCACAGCCAGCCCTGGACCTCAGTCCATTGACGGCAGTGGGACCACCCAGGTCTCTGAAGTCCGGGGCCCCCGCCAGAGTCCACCCTGCAAAGCTTGAGGTCCTCCAGCAGGAGAACCTATCCCAGGGCTCCTTCCCCTCAGAGATCCTGAACCCTCGGGCCACGCATTGCTTATTCCGGATTGGCAGGCAGCCTGCGCCCCAGGAAGAGGAAGGGGGGCTCAGGCAGGACCGGGGTGTGACTCATTTCTGTCTACCCAGCCAAGTGCCAAACAGAGAGGCTGGCAAGCAGGAGCCGGTCGACAGCTACCAACCAGCAACCGAAACCCTGCTCAGAGTGGCCAGGCCTTGATTTACACATAGGTCACAGAAGAATGGCCTTGGCAGGATGCCAGTCCTTGCCTCTCTGACCATCCTGTCTGACCAAGCCCCCTCGTCAGCATCTGCCCCCGTGACGAGCCCCTCCCCTCCTTGCTCCAGCCACGTGACAGACTTGCTGGTCCTCCCTCCCCACTCAGAGGCAAGCATGTGGTCCACCTCGCCTAGAGTGCTGCGCCGGTTTCCTCCCAGCCCCACCAGCTTGGCATGAAAGAATTCAGGCAGTCAGAAACCCACACGTCTGGCTTCACAGCTTCCTGGTGTGGATCTTGGGCAAGTTGCATGGCTTCTCTCCGCCTCTGTTTCCTCCTTGGTAACTTGAGACCTCCCTTGCAGGATTACTGTAAAGATTGGGAGTAAGGTGGGCAGACACCAATGCTTGGCACAGAGCAGATGCCAGCTACAGTGCTCTTACTCTCTGCCCAAGGCCTGGCATCTCCCTGCAGGACGAGCCTGGAGGAATGTTCCAGGCCCCAGGGTTGCTCTCTCTTGTGCTAACCATCACCTTGATCTGGGTCATTTGGATAGCACTTTCCAGATGCTACCCTGTATTGCACTCGTGGCAAAAGGGAACATTTTGGTTGCTTAAGCCTAAGCCAAGCTAAAAACTGACTGTCATCAATTCTTGCCCTCCAAAGGGAGTGGCAAATTCATACTGGGGATGCTGGCCTGGGGACTCTGGTGAGCCAAGAGCAGAGGAAAACATTTCATTTCAGAGCACAGGCAAGTGCTTCATGCTGCTAACTGCTGGAGTCCTGCCTTGGCCGAGCTTTTCCGTGCTTACAGTCTCTATGTTGCTTGGGACATTTTTGGCTGCAAATGATAGAAATTCCACCCAGATCTCTAAAGGAAAAATAATGTTTATTGGCTCACTATCTGGAAAAGACAATCTACAGGTGAGTTAAGCTTCAGGTACAACTGGATCCAGGGGGCTCTCCTTCTCTTTGCTCTGCTTTGCTCTGTGTTGGCCTCATTTTGTAGATAGCCTCAACATTTGGCTAGGGATGGTAGTACCTCTAGGGCTTCTCTGATATGTTGTTGTGTATTCCAAATTTGGCCACATCTACACACATCCCATCCCACACACTCTTCTAAAATGTGGCCTTAACATACTTCCATCAGGAGCTGGGGTTTATGGTCCCTCCTTTTGACTTTGAATGCCCTTTGAACTGCCTCAATCCACAGACAGTGGTGAAGTTCCATGTAATTCCTGAGGCTAGGCCTTAAAAGGCATGCAGCGTCTACCTGGCTTGCTCTCTTTGGGGACACTAGCCCCTGGAAACCAGCAACCATGCTGTCAGGAAGCCCAGGCTGGCCTTCACAAAGAGACCACACGGAGAGGACCTGAGGCCCCTGCTGACAGCAGCTACTGCCCCATATGAAAGGCTGGGCCTTCAGTAAATTCCAGACTCTAGCTTTCAAGACTTGCCGTCGAGGCCCCAGACATTGTAGAGCAGCAGGGTCGTCCACACTTCGCTTTGTCCTGACCCACAGGATCCATAAGCATAGTAAATAGTGGTCTTCCGTCACTAGGCTTGGGGTAATTTGTTACATAGCTGTAGCAACTGCAGTAGGTTTCATGATCGCCGCAGCTCCAAATCTCAAGTGAGGAGCCAGATCTTCCCTCCCCCAACATCCAGTATCAGTTCTTAGTAAAGATGCAGGCTGATTCAGCTTGGGCACGAGTCTCCTCTAAAGCGGCTGCTGTGGCCAGAGGGATGAAGGGCCCTGGCCCTCAGGCTGGGTCGTGAGCCACGCTCTGGCCTGGTGAGGACTGCAGGGACTTGGCCACGGGTGGCTCAGGAAGGAAGAGTGGAATGCGGCTATTCGAGGAAGGCGTAAGCATTCTGGGATGTAAAGGCAGCCCCACAGCTTTCGTTATGAATTGCTCTGCCTACCAAGAAAACGTTGTATTTGTTAAGGTGTACGTGGTAGGGAGCTGGGCAGAGGAACCCAGCAAAATAAGAGTCATGCTGCCTTTCCAGCCGTATCTGGGTAGAATTTGGAGAAAGCAGGAGAACGTCACAATATGCAAACTGATGCCTCAGTTACCCGTGTTTGTGTGAGGAACTGACTCTTTTCTCCCCAGGGCCTCCTCTGCGCTCAGCACTGCATTGGGTGTTTCATATACATTCTCATTCAGTGAGCCCACAGCTCTTGGAGGGCAGGGACTGAGCCTTCTGGGCAGCATCCAGCACACAATGGTGTGTATTAGTTAGGATTACATCTCGACTGCTCCAACAGAGGCCAAAATAACAGTGGCTTAACCAAGGAAGAGGTTTCTTTCTTTCTCTCATGATTGCCCAAGACTAAACAATTCAGGCTAACATGACAAGCCTAGCTGCTCCTTTATATCTTGTCTTGTTGCGCTGCCAACCCCAATATGTAATCCACCCTAAGACCTAAGACGGCTGCTCCAGCTCCTGCCAGCACGTCTGCATTCCAGCCAGGGCAAAGAGGGAAGCCAGAGGAGGGAAAGGGCGCCCCCTCCTCTTTGTAAGGACAAGGCCCAGGAGTTTTACTCTTTTCTTCTGCCTACATCCCATTGGCCAGAACCCAGTCACATGGCCCCAGCTAGCTGCAGAGGAGGCTGGGAAATGTAGTTCATAGCCAGTGACCAAGTGCCCACTGAAACTCAAGGTTTGTAATGCTAAAGAAAAAGGGGGAGAATGGCCCTTGAGTGACAACCGGGAGACTCAGCCTAAGACTCTCAAAGCTGTAGAGTTGGCAGTATTCCCTGTGGGAAGTGCAGTGTGTACCCTAAGAGCTCAGGCCCCAGAGCCAGACTTCCAGTGGCTTT